AATGACTTGGAACGAACAAAGATGCAACAAATGAGATTAGACCAGAAGTGCGTTTTGAAATAGTTTCATAAGCTGAACACTCGAACGGTCATAAAATTATGAGGTTTCGTTTGTCTGCGGATTATTCATTGTTTGCATGAATTTCACAAATGATGCTAATAGGAGTGATCCTCGTTCATTAAATTCAGGCCCTGATTTTTGGGGATTATTGGATAAAAAATGGCAAATGTGTTCTAAGGGCAAAATGCAATCACCAATAAATATCGATCCATCTTCATTACTTTACGATCCGAATTTAAGCGCGATTCACGTCGATAAATCAACGGTGAGTTTGAATGCACATTCTGGATTATGTACAAGTGCTGAAGCATGATTAGTTGGTGGATGGTGCAAGACTTTGCTCGTAACGAAACTAATTAAAGGTAGCATCTGAATTGATCAATACCGGTCAAATGCCAAGAGTGAGATTGTTCAATACAAACCGTTGGCCGAGTGTTAATATATCTGGAGGACCGCTCAATCCGTACAGATATCGTATGCAACGAATGGATATCCATTTCTCGAGCACCACTGATTTTGGCTCTGAGCATTCGGTTGACTCGAAAAAGTTCCCCATGGAGGTCATTTTGATACACTGCTTTATTTGCAGCTTTTTCATGTGGACCGTTCCATTCTCATCATTGTTGTGTATTTTCATCAATAGTGATATTATTTTCAAGTCACAGATCTCAAGAATTTGGCTAGACCACCGCAAAAATCGTCTTGTCATTGAGAAGTGGGTACTGAATTAGTTAGGGAATCATTCTGAACGTGATCAGCAACCGAACATTGTCAAGGAAAATAGCTGGTTGATCTGTTCCACCGAACGGTTAAGGTTGATTTGTATCGTAGCCTTTATGCCTATTGATAAAAGCAATAGTATTCAGTTCGTGACTAGAACAATTATGAGACTAAGCTAAAATTGACTCGGGAATGTTCAACGTAGCAATTAGATTGATTTTATTCGTGCGTTGTGAATGTAACGAATAATCATTGTGATGTCAATAAGATTGACATTCATCAATCTCTTCAGATTCAAATAATTGCATTCAACAGTGACTTATATCGTAATTTTTCAACTGCCGTCGTGTCACCACATGGCATTGCAGCTTTATCACTTCTCGTTCAGGTGAATCAAGTTCAATTTTGAAACACCGATTGCTTTCTTGCATGACGATAAAAAATGCAAATCGTAAGCGTAATTGCTTTTCTTCGACAGTCCAGTGGCATTCAACTCAGCATTGAGATAATTGTTACCTCACTGAAATGTCAACTGATTGGAGCATTGAAAATTTTGTGAAAAGTTCTGATGTGAATGACATTAATTGAAACGTTGAAAAATTGAAACACTGAAAAAAATTGAATGACATTAATGAAGAGGAGTGTGTTAGCACATTGTGTTCAGCATTTAATGTTAATTTTCAATTGCAAACATAATGTACTTTCGTTATCAGATTGAAACGAAACAAATTCAACCAAAAAATATAAGTTATCTGCATTAATGAACTCGTCCTTAATTTGTCCTTAAATTTACTAATGAGTGAAAAATCCCTTTCAGATTGGCAAAAACACCAATGAAGAGTTACTCAAAATAACGATCGCAACAGCTAGTGTACCCTTTAAAAGTATGTTATCGGTCATTTTTTAGTAAATACAGTGAAGCAATGATAAAATGTACATCCCCATTAATTGCAATTTCAGTGCTGAGTGGCCGTTGCTTAACAGGTAATTTTTTTTAGGGAAAAGAGTTGAACTGATGGAATTAAAACCGTGGAAGATGTTGCCTCATAAAGCTGATTATGTCACCTACGAAGGATCGATGACTTCACCAGGGTGTCATGAAACCGTAACATGGATTATCATAAATCATCCCATTTTTATCACCGCTGAAGATGTAAGTTATGTTGAAATGTCATTTATTCGTGCATTGATTTCAATTTTGAGCAGCCAATCTTTTCTTTTGTTGTTGCTTGACAGTTCGGCAGACAAGCTGTCCATTTTCTTTCAATCAAACATATTTTTGATAGTCAGCATTTTTCATTTCACATCATATGTTGACGGATATGTACGTGTTTTCTCTGAAGCGTATTCAACTAACGATCACTTGTCTGTTCAGATTTCATGACTGACTTATCAAAATATCTGCGTTTGCGTTTTTTGACTAGATTTCATCTCATTTAAGCATTATCCATGTTACTTTTTTTTTGTTCCATTAACCATGGTGATGATTTATGTAAGTGCTTTCATGTCGCAACTGAGTATTTGTTGCAGTTGGATACGTGGTCAGTACTGCAGCAAACAACCACTCAAGAGCCTGAACCTCGATATATCGCTCCAAACTTTAGGACACTCCAAGATCCTCACGGACGTATTGTAAGGACAAATATAAGGCATCACTTCAAGGTGAATATAGCAATTGGCTGAAAGCTTTAATAATGCTACAAATCAAATCAATGCTTCACCCAAATTGAGTTTGCTTCGGCTAATTCAGCTACTATTGGTAAGCCGTAAACCACGAAAAATGATGCTGAATCAAAGACTTGCACGAATTGTGAATGCAGGCAGAATTCACATTCATTTTCATGCGATACAAAATTGAATAAGATCAGCGCATGGAAGTAAGTTATAAGAAGATGAGAGTAGAATCATAGCTAATAGAGAGGATCACCGTCGTGGGACGACTTATCAGTTTAAATGTTTATAGGAGCATGATGCAGAATGTAAGAAACGTTTGAACGATACGTGGTACAGATCGAATCCGAATCGGACCGAAACGATACGGTCAAAAACAATATTTCATCGACGTCGTCATCATGCTCATCATCATGCTGATTTTGAATTATTGTAGAACTTACAGAATTCATTCTAACATGACACCGTTCTGTAAATATTCACATAAATCACTATTTAAAGTTCATTACGTTGAAAAAATACACAGTGGTGATCCGTTGTAGTGCGCAACACACCGTATTCAACATCGCATTTCGTTTCCTTCTGCAGTTGTGTTAAGTAATCTCATCCAGTCTGCTTGTTATGATTAACGTAAAACAACAGACAGTTTCATGAACTGTGAACAATTCAGCGGAATAATATTTCCCTGTTAATTCCTTATTTTTGATGCTGTCACAAACCAAAAGGAACGAGTCGAGCGTTTACGATTTTTTTCAAACATTTATTATTCCAATAGTTGAATTTGGAAATTGGTACATCACTGGTAAGTGTCTTAGTTGCTGGACAGTCAACGAATATCGTTCGTCTCAACAAAAGCAAATAAGAATATAAGTGAACAACGACAAATCAGTGCATATGTTATTGTATAATTCATTGCATATTAGCAGCATTCATAAGCTCAGTTTGGGTCTGGAAACATCGACGAAGATCAGTTCAACATACAGTCATTATTCATTACAACAACAAATCGGCTCTGTCACCTGAAAGCCACTGCGTAATTAATTGGGAGCGTAGATCTCATTTCGGGACAATTGAATATCCAGTTTCTAAATCAAATTCACACTACCGTACTAAAAATGACACTGCTTTCCATTTGTAACATCTTATTGGGCAGTCTGATTATATCAGATTCGACTCATTTTGTGCTTTTTTTCACAGAATCCGGACGGGATTTCCCCAATTTTGTTGTGATCACAAAAGAACTTCAACAATGATCACGCGCTCAGAAACTTTTCGCCAACGAAGTATAATTACACATGGCATCGAAGCGAAAAATCAAATCAAATTTACGAAACCGAACAAGATCCAGTTATACGCACACACATAGACGATACACGACATTTTGCATAAAATTCGAATCATTCACAACACTACCGAACGACATTTTTGCTTTGTTGTTACATAAACAAGCAACAAATTGAAATATTCACATGTGAATTATAATACATTAAGTGTTGTGCAATATAATCATATGCTCAAAAGTCACAT